ACTATTTATTTCTTCTAGACCAACAACCAACCTGATTGTTTCGATCCTAGCAACAGGTGCAAAAACTTCATCGAAGTCTATTCCTTCTTTCTGTAGAAATCCTTTCGCCATAAGCCTTGCTTTGTGTCTAGTTACTTCACCTTTCGAATTAGTTTTCACTTTGTATACCCACTTGACATCAATTGCCTTCTTGCCTTAAGGCAATTCGACAAGTGACCAAGTGTTGTTGTCTTTGATAGACTTCACTTCTTCGTTCATTGCTTTCACCCACTTCGAATCCTTCAATGCTTCAGCGGCATTAACAGGTTCGACATCTGCATAGAAAGCATAACGTACCAGCTCACCTTCATTATCTATCACATCATCTGATGTAATCACACAATCTTGCAATCTTGCAGGCATGCGTCTTGTTCTTTGAGGTCTGCTTGTACTTGGTATATCTGTTGGTTCCTCTTGTCGAACTTTTCTTTCGATTTGAGTTTCTGGATCTTCGAATAGGATTCCCACTGAATATTTCTTGACATTTTCAGTCCAATCCCATTCTTTAAACTCATCTATGATCACGTCCCTGCTGATCACAATCTTCCTTTTCACTGGATCGAACAATTTGTAGCCTCATGTCGAATGATATCCAACTAGAATCATTTAACTTGACTTGTCATCAAGTTTTCTTCTCAACTGATCTGGCACGTGTCTATGTGCAATAGATCCAAATACCTTCAGATGACTCAAGCTAGGCTTCACACCAGACCAACATTCTTCTGGAGTAATTACTTCTAGCTTCTTCGTAGGACATCTATTCAAAATGTATGTTGCAGATGAAACAACTTCACCCCAAAACTCTTTAGGTGAATTCTTACCTTTCAACCTACTTCGTACCATATTCATGATGGTTTGATTCTTCCTTTCTGCAATTCCATTTTGTTGTGGAGTATAGGGTGGAACCACCTCATGCACAATCCCTTCCTTTTCACATAGTCTGTCGAAGTCTTTCGACACATATTCTCCACCACCATCAGTTCTCAAAACTTTGAGTTTTCGACCACTCTGTCTTTCGACCATAGACTTAAACTTGGAAAATACTTCAATCACTTCACTTTTCTTCTTGATCAGATAAGTCCATAGCTTTCGACTGAAATCATCTATGAATATAACAAAGTATTTGTTACCTCCCATCGAATCTACCTGGATTGGTCCACATACATAAGAGTATATGACTTCAAGAATAGCCTTCGACCTGCTTCTTGCATCCTTGCTGAAGCTATTTTTGTGTTGCTTCGCCTGCACACATTCCTCACATACCTCGTTTGGAATTTCGATTTTTGGCAATCCTGAAACCATATTTCTTCTCTTCAAATATCTGATGTCTCTGAAGTTGAGATGACCTAGTCTATAATGCCATATCCATTCATCTCTTCTAGCTGCAGTCGAAAGGCACTTGTGCTCCATCACATTTAGTTCAATCTCGAAGGTTCGATTCTGAGACATAAGAGCCTTCAAGATTAATCTTCCATTTACATCGACGACTCTCATCCGCTTATCTTCGATTGATACTTAATAATTCTTTTCGACCAACTACCCTATACTGAGCAAATTACTCTTCATGCCTGGTATGTACAACACATTGGAAATTACTGACTTCTTGCCATCTTTCCTCATAATCATAACATCACCAATACCTTCAGCTGCTAGAGTATTGTCATTTGCGAATTTTACCATATTTTTCATTGAGGGCTTTATGTTGACAAAACAGTCTTTCCTTCCAGACATATGTGATGAGCATCTCGAGTACAAGTACTATTGGTCCTTGAATCTATCTTCATCTCTTGTTGTGACCATCAACATCATCTCTTCTTCTTTATGTTTTGCAAGCTTTGCATTACTTTCTTGATTCTTTCGTTTTTCTAGACAATCCCTCGAATAGTGACCATACTTCTGACAATTGTAACATTGAATGTGACTCTTATCAGATTTTCAACAACCATCTTTTCCTCTATTTGCAACACCACCTCTTTGGTTTCCTTGGTATGGTCTTCTTTGATTCGAAGAGTTTTCTTCGTTCTGGTTTCCTCTACCATTCGATTTGTTGTATCCGCCTTTATTTTTATCGAAACATTTTCCTTTGACTTTGGTTTCTTTTGTTGAATGTGCCTGCAAAACCACATCACTCTTCGATTTTCCTGCAGCTCTTTCGTTCATTCTTTGTTCATGAGATTCAAGCGTCCCTTGAAGCTCTTCCTTTGTCAATTTCGACAAGTCTTTCCCATAATTCGCCATCGTGAATTCTTCAATTATTCTTGATTGATACTTCCCTTGAATCGAAATTGAGCTCTTGATACCAGATGTTGGAAATCCACCAAATATCTATGATGAATTTCTACTTCAATGACAATGAATTATGAGAAAAACAAGAAAAGAAAGAAGACAATTATTTTCTGCAGAGTTTCTCTCTGCCCATAATCTGTGGAAAACATTGTTATTCACTTGCAAATGCTAATTCTGTGAATACAATTTAATTGACTTGATTACAAAATAGGGGTTACTTCCTCTATTTATAGATTTAGCTTGCACCCTAAGCCCAAAATACATATTTTGATACTAAATCAAATCTATTCTATTTTAGATCTAAATCAAATCTATTTAAATCTAAATCTAATCTTTTCGACACTATGAATTATAATTTAACAAATATATGGTGGTTTTAGGTCAAAGGATAATATACACCATTATTATAATGAGAATAATTTATGACACTTACATAACAATCTATATAATATTTTCATAATGAATCAATCTAATATAAATATTACTCATAATCAGGACCGCTTCAGAATATTTAAAGGTTTTGTTCTAATTTTTAAAAATGGATCTAATAAAAAAGAAAAGTCATATATTATAAAAAATTCAAATAACATTAAAAACTAATCAAATAACATTAAAAACTAAAGAAAAACTAAATTATTTATAAATATTTTAATAATATATAAGTTGTTGATTTTTGGTTATTTAATTATAATCTATAAGTATATTTCAAAATTGATTATAAATTGTTTTAAATGCTAATGGACTTATAGATTTTAATAATATAAATAGACCAGTTTTACATATGATTTATGACCGGTCTTCCATGGTACAATATTTTAGCACTTTTGTGTAAAATAATAGACATAAAACGTAATAATAGATTATAAAAAAAGTCTGTGAAAATCTTAATATACATATAGTTATTTATATGCTCTAATAAATAATGAATTGAATATTTCTCTTTATAATGATTAAATAAAATATATATATATATATATATATATATATATATATATATATATATATATATATATATATATATATATATATATATATATATATATATATATATATATATCATATGATTTAAAAGCTTTTTCGAGTAAACATCATAAAATTAATGTCTCGTGCAAACTTTTTATGAAGAATTACTGTATCTTCAAGTGCATAAACAAGCTTTTCAGAACTTAAAATTTACCCATCTCTTATATTGAATCATTGCGACTTTAAATGTCATCAGAAGATGTAAATGTTTTGACATTGACTGACACTGAAAATAATTGAGTCATATATTCACTCATTTTCACTTTCTACATATAAAGAGATATTCATCAATGCACCATGCTTTAAGATTATATTTACAAGTATTAAAAATTTCACTAAACAATAATAAAAACAACATAAACATATACTAAAATCAAAATCACCCTCTACACGCGTTCCATTACCTGAAATTGCAATTGGAGTAACCGACAACGAATGTGCAGCTATTGTTGATAAGGTGGAACAAAATCTTGTTACGAAAAATATGCAAAATAGATGCCAGTTAATTAATTCATTCTTTGATTAGAATATAAATTGAGAAAGCCATCATCATCATCATCATCATCATCATCATCATCATCATCATCATCATCATCATCATCATCATCATCATCATCATCATCATCATCATCATCATCATCATCATCATCATCATCATCATCATCATCATCATCATCATCATCATCATCATCATCATCATCATCATCATCATCATCATCATCATCATCATCATCATCATCATCATCATCATCATCATCATCATCATCATCATCATCATCATCATCATCATCATCATCATCATCATCATCATCATCATCATCATCATCATCATCATCATCATCATCATCATCATCATCATCATCATCATCATCATCATCATCATCATCATCATCATCATCATCATCATCATCATCATCATCATCATCATCATCATCATCATCATCATCATCATCATCATCATCATCATCATCATCATCATCATCATCATCATCATCATCATCATCATCATCATCATCATCATCATCATCATCATCATCATCATCATCATCATCATCATCATCATCATCATCATCATCATCATCATCATCATCATCATCATCATCATCATCATCATCATCATCATCATCATCATCATCATCATCATCATCATCATCATCATCATCATCATCATCATCATCATCATCATCATCATCATCATCATCATCATCATCATCATCATCATCATCATCATCATCATCATCAGGGGTGGACATCGGTCGGTTTGGGCTGGATTTGGACTCAATATGTCAAGCCATGCAAAATCATGAATTTAAATATTAGGTCCAATTCCGACCAAAGTTGTAATCGGTTTGATCGGATTCGATTTAATCGGTTTATCGGTTAAAATAGATCGGTTTATTCGGTTAATTAATATTAAATTATCATAAATTTTTTTAATTATATCTTAATTTTTTTAATTAAAACAATATTAAATAATAAATTTAAAACAATAATAAAAATAATATATTTAATTTTGGACATAAAGTCTATAAGGTAGTTTTTGTAGATGCCAACATTAAAAGAAAGCTTAAAATATACTATGAATACTTAAATTACATTCATCCTTCATATATAAATTAACATTAAAAGCCAACATGATGACACAACCAACACTAATTATAATTTTTGTTCACCATCATATTTCCAGCACTTAAACACCCACTGTAAGCTGCAAGAGAAGAGAAGTGTTCCACTGTAAGCTGCAAGAGAAGAGAAGTGTTCCACTGTAAGCTGCAAGAGAAGAGAAGTGTTATTTTAGAAATAATATATTTCAAAGCTTTTGCTTCTAAACAAAATTATGCATGACCTTTCAAGTAATTTTTTTGCATACCAGAATGGGAGCTGTTGTTCCAAGGATGGAGCAATGAACTCTAGCTGTTCGGTGCCTGAATCTGCCAAAATACTCGACTAAGTCTAACTGTAGTTCTCTGCTAAAAGAAACTGAAAGTGTAGCTAGAGTTGAGTCGTATAACTTCAAATTCTCCTGCTGTATTTTTTTAACTACAATATATATGAAAATAGTATTAGTCCTAAAAATATACTCTATTATAAAAAGGGGCGTCAACAGACACAAGACCATAAAGCTCTATGTCACCACCATATATCTCAACCAAATTCTAATTCACTTGGTGTGGGTTTCTATTTTAACTAAAACTGAGTGTATCTGAATCTATAAAAGTACCACAAGATCATGTTAATGTGTTTGTTTTGCATCAAGACCATGATTTCCATCAGAGCTGAGAGGAACTAACACTTAAAAATAGGATAACCATCCACATAACCAACACTGGTATGATTGCCGTACTCAAATCTTTGTGATATTCAAGAAAAATCAGGACAATCACTTGTAGCTTTTTGCTAAATTAGCAAATCTTTCCAGACCACGTTGAAGTAAGCTTTCAAGAAAAGGTTGCAGTGCCTGCAGATTATACCATTACAAAGGGTTCTTAAAGCTGAAACACAGATAAAAGTCCATTATAACTGTGTGTAAAGTTAGATAAATGAATGATCCGATTTCTTTAAAGTGAGCAGTTAATAAAGTTAAAAAGTCAAAATTAAATATTTGATCAATGTTTGACATTTTAAAGTGAGCATCTCACATTAGATGAAAAAACTAGGAAAGCATCTACCACTTGTCTTATTACTTCTTATCTATCCCCAAATAATGAAAAATGAGAATTATCTTACTGTGTTTGTTAACTAAAGTTATCAAGAACTTTACATTTTACAAAGGCTAGATTACTTACCGATACCACTGGAGATAAAAGTTGAGGAACCTTATAAGAAATCGTCAGCTGTAATGGAAAAAATGCAAAAAAGCAATATTAGTGCTTGACTTAAAGGCTGAATGGGGACCAGGGAGCAAAAAAAGTAGAAAACACTATGTACTATTACTTTTAAGTTTTCCTAATACCATGTTAGAAGTTAAAAGTGTAGAAAGAACTGTCGATGGGACTGATACAAGGAGTTATTCCTTAGTGTGGATACATGTGATGTGCCACCTAGTCATGCACTAGACTGATATAGATAGGAAATTATTTGGCCCAATAGAAACATGCAGTGAATGTGATGCAGCTAGTTGGACAAATACTACATTGAGAAATTTACAATTGGTATTGATTTAACCCAATTTCCCCCTTAATATGGGATCAAAGTAAGTCGGCAACAGTTGTACAAGAAAGATTGCATTGTTATCAATATAGAAAAAAAAGTGAAATTAGTAAAATTGTATGAAAGGCCTTACTTCTACAACGCATGAAGAGGGACCTTTTGGAAAGAATCGTACAGCGCCTCTGCCAAATGAGAAATTGAGATTAGATTAAGACCAGTGCTAAGTATGCTTATGCAGAATGTGCTTTCTAGCCACTAAATGGCTTGAAGAAAGATGCAGCCAGGAATTCTTTAATCATGGTTGAAGAAATACATTTTGCAAACATTGCTAGAATCAACTATAGATTTCTAGTCCAAGCACAAGTGTTAGGGACAAAACATTTCACTGCTATAAGGTTAAAGGCCTTTAATTTCATCAAGACAAGAGATTCTGCAGTATTTACAGTGTAGAAACTTGCACATATTAAGTCAAACTCTAAGACTAGAAACCTCAAAACTTCTTGGGGCATAAATAATGGATACTGCTATAAGAACCTGCGAAGGACTATGGTGTTAAATTCCTAGCATATATGTTAAAACAAACTACTTTTGAGTGACCTTTACTGCTTACTCAAATACTAAATTTTCAGCTTTTTTACTTTGGGAACCAGTTTCCTTCTTTTTCATTACTCAGCAGAAAAATAGCACAAATTTTACTTCATGAAGTAAATTCAGCCAATTAAGCATAATCAAGTGCAACCTAATAGTATGTTTCGGAAGTTAAACAAAATAAGAAAGGGACATATGGCAACAATTACTATGAATGAGACACAGACACATTCATATCACAGTTTATAGTTAAAACAAAATGAATAAAGAGTTACCAAAAATTAACTTGTATCATTTTCAAATGGATTCAGTGCTGTGCGGGAATTGATGTGCGAGACTGATATAGGTCAGTTGTGTCGTTCAGACTTCAAAAAGTCGAGTCATTCACGACTCCAAAAAAGTGGCTGCACATAAAAATATAAAAAATATTCAGTTTATGGCTTAGAAAACAGTTAGTATATAACTTTTAATTTTTCATACCTAAAAGCTAATTAAATCGGGCCAGCCTGCCCAAGAGCAGCTGCTCCAACAACACAAACAACTTGAAATTCTACAACCATATAAGAAAATTGTAATGAGATGATGCTTAACTTTATCAAATAATTTTTAAAAAGGACAAAAGGATTAACTATGTACCTGAAACTATTGAATCGGTTATGTCATATTCTTCAAGTAAATCAAGGACTTTTGGATCGTTCTCGTCCGAAGGCATCAACCAATTTTGAGAACAAATAAGCGCCTTAACCATTGCTGGACTCAAAGAGCTCCTATACATGTCTAAAATCCTTCCACCCGTGCTAAAAGCACTTTCAGATGCTACACTTGAAACAGGTGTTGCCAAAACATCCCTAACCAAAGTAGCTAATATAGGATAACGAGTTGAATTCTCCTTCCACCATTTAAGAATGTTAAAATTTTCAGCATCAACCCAACATGGATCACCTAAGTACTTCTCTAGTTCATTTTTATTATCAACAATGACTTTACCCTTTAAGTGTTGTTTAAATGCATCAGCCCTTGTAAAAAGTGTAGGTTTTCTAGCTTGGGTACTTGTTTCTCCAAGAGAAGTGCTCTCGGATGGTGCATCTAAGAGGGCAGCCTCAACATTCTTACTGTGCTCAGATTTATACCAATTGTATAGTGTAAATAGACTTTTCTTGACACACTCAATACTTTTCTTAGCAATTGGACTACCATCCCCATGCATGTCATTGAAAGACCACTCAACATAACTGAACTTAAACCTAAGGTCAAATATCACTCCAAAAAATAGGAAATGATTCACTTTTTCAACATCCCCCCAATATTTATCAAATTTGATCTTCATATTTGAAACCATTGGAGCCACATAAGTATTCATGTTCAAGGAAGCTTCTTGAAGCTTACACAAAATTTCAGACAAATTATGAAAGGCAGAATGTAACGACACTTCTTGCGAAGATGAAAACAATTTGGTTGCATCATAGAATGTTTTCAAAAAAATCATAAAAGCCCTAGATTTTTCCAAATCAATAGAACAAGGAGGACCCTAGAGGTTAAAAAATTCCATGTACCCAGGATCCTCATCCTCTAACTTCTCAAATGCATCCAACATCAAATATGTGGAATTCCATCGTGTGGAAACATCAAGGCCAAGTTTTCTTTTACATGTTATCCCTATAATTTCAATACACTCCTTAAACTTTAAAGCTCGTTGTGGTGAGGACCTCACAAACCTAACAGCTTCGCGAACACTTTCAATAGCCAATTCATGATCTTTTTGCCCATCTCTCACTACTAAGTTTAAGATATGGGCAGCACACCTCATATGAAAAAAACTCCCATCACCAACTAAAGCATTCTTGCTTTTAAGTCTTTTTCCCAAATAAGAAACGACCACATCATTACATGTTGCATTATCAAGGGTAATTGTTGACACTTTTCTAAGCCCCCATTCATTCAAAACATCCTCCACTTTCTTACCAATGGTGTCACCCTTGTGATTTGGAACTAAACTAAAACTGATAATCTTTTTATGATAGTTCCATTCATTGTCAATGAAGTGTGCAGTTATGGCCATGTAACTAAGATTTTGAATTAAAGTCCAATAATCAGTGGTTAGTGCAACCCTAGGACAATCAGATTTAAAGAAGGCTTTAAGTTTCAACTTTTCGGCTAGGTAAAGTTGAAAACAATCCCTAGTAACAGTCCTCCTTGAAGGGATGGTCATTTGTAGTTGTAGTTGTTTGCATAGTCTCTTAAAACCCTCACCCTCTACTACTCTAAATGAATGCTCATCAAGAAGTACAAAGGAAGTAATAGCCTTCCTACATGCTTGAGCATTGAACCTTTGGCTTGTTGAACCTAAAAAACCACCTTCACCACTTACAAGGTTTCTTTGAGTGGGATCTTTCTGTAAAAGGTTAGGGTTTTTGTGACACACTTTTGAGTGAGCTAACATGTTAGATGTTCCATGTGTTTTAGGGTCGCATCGATATCTTTTGTGACAATGTTTACACGCAGCTATTGGTTCAGGTTCATCCGACAAAATGTTAAAGTCTAACCAAACGGTGGAAGTTTTCCTAGATCCACTAGCATTAACTAGTCTTTTTTTCCTAGAAGGGGGGAGAGGAGGAAGTGCGGTTTCTACTTCTTGTGTAGGTTCAACATAGGGAACAGGATGTTCCATCACTGAAAATATTTTGGTCAACAAAAACACTTAGTCCTATATGAATAATCTAAAATAGTTACTTACATGAACAATTTAAATGTTAGACTAAAAAAGATCATGTAAGACAAGATAATACCTGCAACTGCAAGACAAGACCATGCATCCGGATACTTAACATACACTAAAGGTTGACAATACCTGCAAGACAAGACCATGCATCAGGATACTACATAGATCAATGCAACTACTGGATTTTCTCAAAGGGAGAAAATGGCTACCATACTCAAGCAACATGCCTAATCTGTGAATGAAAAATGAAATACAAAAGCATAGTGCAAGTCTTTTACCAAATATTTCAAGAATATTACACAATCCATAGTTCAAGAATTCCTAAACTCATAAGCTTAAATTTTCAAACAAGTCACACTATGTCGCCCATTTCATCAAGACAAATTCATTTCAATTTTGAATGACACAAGAAGAATGCAAGGATTTTTTCGCCTAAAAGATTCAAATTGTATCATCATGTTACACAAGAATTCCAAGTCACGTCATTTCCATACAAAGGCATTTAAAGTTGCTATACTAAAAAGCTTCAAGGTAAGTCGTCAAGTTTGAGTTTACAAAGAAAACATTTTGGTTCTATGATTGTTCAAATTCAAAGAATAAAAGAGATTCAAAAATTTCAAGTCTCCTATGCCTAAATTCTTATGTCCATCACCAAGTCTACAATGTTACAAGCCTTTCCATGACATTTTATAAAGCCCATCTAACATCCAAATAATCATAAAAATGACTTAAACATTGCAAAACAAGGGGAATCAGTGGGCTAAATGAAGCATTTTCGGATTGGGCTTTTGACATAAAATTGCAAGGTTTGTTTGAATCAATATTTCAACACAAGCAGAAATTTCCAACCATATAATCCTTAGTCTCTATAAAAGCATTCATTCTGACACAGATTCAGAGGATTCATTCACTGACAAATTCAGACAAACTCAGAGCAAATAGAAATACTAAATTCCCACTCCTATCACTACAAGACAATAATATTATTGTGAATTCAATATAGTAAGGAAATATTAGGCTATATTTTGTTGCAAATCCCATGAGTATCAGAAATATTTTTAAAAGTTTTATAGAAAGGATTGAGGAAAGATAACAAATGAATACATGATATTATATTCAATAATATATCAAAGAGGATAGCTCTTGTTAGAAAAGTTATTATATATAACACAAATATTTCTACTGTAATACTAGTCTATTCATTCCCTGCAATTTCAAACATTTATAATTTTTGACTATAGGACAAATATAAGTTACTGTATGTGATTAAAACAAGTGTTCACATGCATTGTAAGATGGAGAAAAAACACATTAAAAAAAGTGACTAATTAATTAATGCAATATAAAGATATAATAACTCCTTCCTTTTTATTAAGGTTGACAACAGGTGAGCTCTGCCTGCATAATTAGTGAGTAATAGATTAAGATTTTAGCTTATTTTGTCACTTATTATTACACATTCAAGTTCCAATCATATTATCAACTAAGGGAAACAGCTT